AGTCAGATTACTGATATTAGAGCTGCAGGAGCGGTTTTACAGTGTGTAACAGATAAAGCTTCCCCTGCAAGGCATTCCTGAATGAAAGGTTACTAGTGGGCAGATGGGAAGGGATCCCTTCCTCTTTCTGTCCAGTGTCACACAGGCAATGGAGGAGCTGGGGCAGCACTGCCTTTTACACCCTCTATAACTGTTCTTAAGGCTGACTGGACTACAGACTACACTGGGCTCAAGGGATCAGTCTCGCCCACTGGCCAACGTTATGACTGGGAGGAGCGACGGCGACCCGAAACCACCGCCGAGGGACATCGGCAGGGTCTCCAGGAAGTGACTGAAGGGGTTTTCACCCCTTCAGCCTCCGGGGGATGGGGGTAGGGAGGGAGAGGGGCCCTGCAGTGCCAGGAAAACGGATTGTTTTCCTGGCACTGGATTTCCCGTTAAGGGCTCCAGTTAGTATAATGGATTTTTTTACAACATGTGCCATTTTATGAGGTACTAGAATTTGTGTGTTCTGCATGTGTACATGTATGTTGAAATTAGTTAGTTTATTTCCTAAGATATGAAAGAATGTACATCTCCATATGCCATTTTTTTAAAAGCCAGTTTATACCTTGTGATAAAAGACCCTATTCATATTCTCTGCAAAGTGGAGCACTGGGGGGTGACTCGGCAAATCGCCTAATTTAATTGGAAGCTGACCTCACATGATCTCTGCATGCTTGTTATTTTATTTTTATTTTTTTATCAAGTGTTACAGATGGCTTACAAATTGCAATACAATTAAAAGATGGTTGCCTCCACAGTGGAGAAACTGAGAGATCCAGTTGTAATGCTAGCTGTTTGCTTTACTGTTTTAAGCTGACTTATGGAATCTGATTGTCTGGTGGCCCTTTACACTACCAACGTAGTGGCTACATTTATAGGCGTAATGTTAGCGTATTAAACTAAAATAAATACTCCAAGCATCATATTCATTACAGCTACTACTGTATGGGTTATGGTGCCAGCAGTAGCCATGTGCCTTCCCAGAGTAATCGGTCAAACCATTTCAGAACAGCTTGGCAACTTACTTTGTCCCCAGTGCACCTGTTCCTTCTTAGTCTTCACTGGGCTAAGCAGGTCCATTACAGGACCAGCCTAATTTGCTGAGAACACTCAGCTGCTCAGAAACCCTAACGTTAAATTTAATATTTCTACAATTCACAAGTTTCAGCATATGGTATGCTTGAACTCTAAATTGCCCTTTGTGTCTTTATAGTAACTGCCATGGCAATTTGAACGTGTGATTAATCGCAACCACCTTTCCATGAGTTATTTGCCCTAGATTTCGACTTTTTTAGATAGATTTGTATACATTTGCATCAAGCAGTCCAACATCCCAGTGGGTTAATATGATTATGACTGGCGCGCCACAAGAGCTGGAACGGAATTAAATTAAGTGATAATACTGAGTTTGTCACCAGATGACTATCACAGCTCTGGTGCAATTAGGCCAACACGTCCCTTTGTGAAATTATTATTTGAAACATATTCTACAGAACCATGCTGTTTTCAATGAATTACACTATACTATCCAGCAATAATTGTAATTGTCTGTGAAAAAAAAGGTGAAAAAATTTATCCACCCCCCAGCCAGGATCGAAGAAGTACCTTATAATAGCTCTGAAATCCGTTATGTATAATATTTTTAAAATGAAAAAGCTTTTGAAATGGAATTATAGTGTCCATCAACCTTGTCTTATGGGATTGAATGTATGTTATTGTATTAAATATGTGCAACAATTTGTTTTATCGGTAAACTAATCGATTTGTCCAAATCGAAAGCCTTTTAAAAAACACTTGAACGATTTGATTAATCAATTTATTTTTTAATTGTTTGGTTGTGGATTGAAAGGCTTTTGATTAAAACGTGTATGAATCAGGTGGATGCTTGATTAACACCTTGATGAAGGGCCTTGACGAAGACACTAGAAGTGTCGAAACGTTGTGAGCTGTTTGCCAAGTTCTTGTCTGTTTTACTACTTAGAAACTTTAAACGGACACTACAGGCACAAAAAAACTTTAGCTTAATGAAGCCACTGTGGTGTAGAGATCATGTCGCTGCAATCTCACTACTCCATTCTCTGCCATTTAGGAGTTAAAGGGACACTATAGTGACCAGAACTACATCTTGTTGTATTCGTTCTGGTGAGTAGAATCATTCCCTTAAGGCTTTTGGCAGTAAACACTGTGTTTTCAAAGAAAATGCAGTGTTTACATTACAGCCTAGGGTTACCTCCACTGGCCACTCCTCCAATGGGTGCTAGAGGTGCTTCCTGAGGCAGTGCTGCACAGTGTGACTGACATTGTGTCTCCACCCTCTGCATGGAGACACAGAGCTTTCCTCATAGAGCTGCATTGATTCAGTGCATCTCTATGATGAGATGCTGATTGGCCAGGGCTGTGTTTGACTTGTGCTAGCTCTGCATTGTAATTGGCTGAAAGAATCACTGATGATGTCAGACAAGCAGGCATAACAGGGGCAGAGTCAGCAGCTGCAGACTGGAGTAAATGTAAGATTTTGCTATATTTACAGGGTCCAGGGGGGCTCGATAGTATTTTTAATAATATATGTTTGTATTCCTTTAAATAACTTTGTTTATACAGCCCTAGTCACACCTTCCTACAAATGACTTGCACAACCTTCCTAAACAGTTCCTGAAAAATAACCTAGGTAGGTTCCTGTATTGCACAGTCTGTTTAATCTAGATTTTTCTCCTGTTCTCTTAATAGTCTAGTGTGTGTGATTAACGCACAATTTACAGTGCAGGAGATAAAAACTTCTAAAGCGAGTTAACATCTGTTTGAAAATGATTTTTCATGCATGATGTGTCAGTAACAGTCAGGTAAGTGTGGCTAGGGCTACATAAATTGTAACAAAAAGTGATTTAACTCCAAAATGACAGAGTATTGAGCAGCTTCATGAAGCTAAAATTCTTTTGATGACTATAGTGTCCCTATAAGGCAGGAGTCCCTTAAAGGACCACTATAGTGCCAGGAAAACATACTCCCACCCTGCTCTGGAAAGGGGAAAAGGGTTAAAACTTACCTTTTTCCAGCGCCAGGCGGGGAGCTCTCCTCCTCCGTTCCTCCCCGTCGGCTGAATGCGCACGCACGGCAAGAGCTGCGGGCGCATTCAGCCGGTCGCATAGGAAAGCATTATCAATGCTTTCCTATGGACGCTTGCGTGCTCTCACTGTGATTTTCACAGTGAGAATCACGCAAGCGCCTCTAGCGGCTGTCAATGAGAAACTGCTATGTTTATAGAAAAATTTGTTAACCCTAGCTGGACCAGGCACCCAGACCACTTCATTAAGCTGAAGTGGTCTGGGTGCCTAGAGTGGTCCTTTAAACTCTTATTTAGGTTTCTGTGAGTGTCATTTCACGTAATTGTATTGATAATACAGGATAAGAAAGGAGTCTAGAATAGTTTAATGAACTTAATTTACTTCTCATGACCATGTCCACCATGACTAGAGTTTTTCTGTATTGCTCTTTTGATGCTGTACATTTTAATGAAGGTTTTCTTGATGTGATTGTCTTGGATACAATCCTTTTGAGAAGTTTTTTTTTACTTTCTTTTTGGCTATAATTGTCATGCTAATATCGCTAATTGAAATAGCAGTATATGTATTCTGGGTCATCACGTACGATACAGTGTTAATTTTGGCGGTAAATTTCAATTTAGTTTTAGCCCTAGTCTTTTGGCTAAAAAGCCATTTTAGTTTTAGTCGTATTTTAGTCATTTGAATTGTTTTAGTCTACTAAAACTCAACAATTTTAGTCGACTAAAATTGTTAGTCGACAAAATTAATACTAATTCGATATCCCTCTGCTTGCAAGTTTGGAAACTTATACACATGAGGCACATAATGGCACCATATAAATAGTAAAATAATAATCCCAAAAAATTTCAAATTTTATCGCAAATTAATACATTTTGCGTATTTTATCGATAAAGTTGTTTTGACTGTATTTCTGTCTCCATCCATCTGTCATCTTGTGAAAAAAACTATTTGAACCAATTCCTCCTAATCAAATTTGTTTTAGTTCGAAGAATAAGACCTACAGGTAAATAATGGGTGAATCCATTTGTTAGGGTGTGGATTAAAAGGAAATTGATTTGGCTCAGTTTTGTTTTATTTTTTTATTTTTTTATTTATTTATTTATTTTCACAAGTCTACTCTATATGTTGTTTTGTATCCTATGTTAGCCAATATTAGGTTTTAGAGATATGTTCATTCAAATAAACAACATGGCTTTTATTGTTCTTGGTAGACCACACAGGACACTTTATGCACCTCTGCGGAAATTGAATTCAATGCTTCCTTACAAAATTGAGGTGCATGTTAAAATGCCTGCCCGACATGACTTCTTTTTGGCTCTTACTGAGCCTTTGTCAACCTTCAGACCTTTTCGTTTGGATGCATTTTGACTGTGTCGTTTGGCCGCATCAGACCATTTGATACAAGGATTTTAAACTTTGTGTCGTCTGTCTGTGTACATCATAATAAACCACTTCTGGAGGTCATGCCATTTTATACTACATGATTTATTAGAGCTAGGATTAACGTGTCAGTGTTTTAGTGTTAGGATTCATATCTCCTTCTACCCAAGGTCAGTAGCAGTCACACTCCTAGGGACACAGCTAATTTAAAATGGGTGAAGCTGCCCTTCATGCATAACTCCCATTAATCCGAGGCAGACTATCAATAAAACCCTATAAAATGGGAAAACAAGCCGTCAACCAGGAAAAAAAATCAGTCGCATGCCAGCAAATATTGTAAGTGCAAGAATGAAAAAGTATTTTCTGGAAGTATGTTCAGCATTAGAAATATAAATCCTTAGTTAAACAGTTCAGTTAAACAGTTCAGTTATTCTATTTTGGGGAAGTCCAACTTCCCCTTAAATTAGCAATAAAAAGCTAATATGTAATAATCCACCTCAATTTAGCCTGGCCATGCACAGTCTCCTCTTTATCCACTACCAGCTGGGGGTAGGGGGCGGGCTAGGACCCAGGGAATCCCCAGCTGTGAATCACTCCTCCAAATTATTGGATACTGTGAAAATGATTTGGGTTTTTGTAGATGTCTGGTGGGAACTTTGGGTTTGTGGTTGCAGGAAGCAGGAGAAGTGTACAGGACATTTCGACAGCTGGTAAGCTCTTCTGAATTCCCCAGGAAAGCAACCCAAAGTCTTGTTTTCTTAGCACCCAGCACTGGAGAACTGGGACAGACATATTTTCAGCTGGCAGAGTATTGTGTAAGATGAATGACTGCAAAGGTAGGGCTCACCTACCCCTGCTCAAAAAGATTGAGTAATTAAGTAAGTAAGATAATCCAGTTTAATTATCCTCCTCATTCAATTGGTTATGAAGAGGGAGGGAAACAAGAGAACCTCTTTCAGGGTTATTCACTTAACCCCACTTTTTTGCAATTAAATCTAAATGGAGAATTTTTCCAGAACAACTTTTATCTTTTTTCTTTAGTTTTTCTATTTGCATTTAACTCACAAAAAAAAGTGAAGTTCTGTGTATAACTCTGTTCAACTTTATGAACTTTTACATTTTCAGTTACTTAATTATTTTATTCCTCAGTGTCTTCCATCTCCCAAAAGGTTTCTCTCACCCTCGACATGTTCATGGTATCAACCCATTTGATGTTTCATCATTACATTTGATCTACTAGCTCACACCAAGCGATACATAGAAACATCTCCTGATTTGATAACACACGTAATGTTTTTCAACCAACATTTAAGTTTCTAGTTAGGTGACCTATAACCCACCAGCTGTTGTACAGTTTCTAGTCCCAGGCTGATCATTCAATTTAGAGGCTATTTTAGTGGCCTAGGGTTTGGTTTAAGCATCACAGAAAAATTAGACGATTGTTCTACTGGATTTTGTGAGTTTGGTAATCCCCTACACCCTCCATGTTTGGAGGCCTTCAGGAGAAATGAAAATTGGGTGGGCATGAATTGGCCTTATTTTGGGAAAAGGCCAAGCTCCAAATACAACAGCTAATTTTGGGCAAAGGGCACCCGTAAATATGAGGGACACACAAATAGACCTATATGCAAATAGACTCTTATATGACACAATATGTAAATCTATATTTTCTTTACAGAATTTTACTTTCAGACATGATGGTTTCTGGTTCCCTGGTTAGTGTCAAGAGGTAGGACTGCAGGGCCATCCCGAGATTAACAAGTTTAGTTAAAGGACCACTCTAGGCACCCAGACCACTTCAGCTTAATGAAGTGGTCTGGGTGCCAGGTCCCTCTAGGATTAACCCTTTTTTTAATAAACATAGCAGTTTCAGAGAAACTGCTATGTTTATAATAGGGTTAATCCAGCCTCTAAAGCCTCTAGTGGCTGTCTCATTGAAAATCACAGTGAGAAGACGCAAGCGTCCATAGGAAAGCATTATGAATGCTTTCCTATGAGACAGGCTAAATGCGCGCGCAGCTCCTGCCGCGCATGCGCATTCAGCCGAAGAGGAGGAGGAGAGCTCCCCGCCCAGCGCTGGAAAAAAGGTAAGATTCAACCCTTTCCTCGCCATTCAGCCCGGCGGGAGTGTTATTACGAGTTGATTATGGCTGCCCAGTGTGCCATCTCAATGGAAATGTCTGCTTTTTCTAGCTAAGCTTTATTACTGAAAATTCTGTCTTGAGTCATCGATCTAGAATTTCCCAGCTTTTGCCTGGCTGGATTTTAGTGAAGGACTTCTCTAAATGGTTGTTATGGAGCTTCCTAATTATCTGCATAAACAAATGCCTTAGACAGGGATTTTTCTAATGGCTATAAAATCACAAAATGGACATACATATATTTTCCATAACTTTCTATCTCAGACGTCGTATATCCAATAAACGTGGCAAAGTTTCCGCCTAATACGCGTTCGTTTTTGAGTAAATATTCTATAATGGCCAGTGTTGGGCTTAGAGTTCTATAAACTTCAAACGACTATCGTGGTTTTTCAGTTTCTTTGATCAAAATCTAATGGGTTAGAATGCTGGCATCTCTTTTATCGAATAAAAGCCCTTGATAGTAAAGCATACTTCTGATGTACAAGGTTTAGACCTTATAAGTATCTGAGCCGCTCTGCAATTTGTAAGAGTAATTAATATAGGTGCACACCCTTAGGTTATTAGGACCATTAATGATGACAATAAATATGGAATATCTACCTTGCGTGCTGTAGACAGAGGGACATTGATTTTGCAATGCAGAAAATACATCATAAATGTACAATAAATATGTGAAAAATGGCATAGAATATACAAAAATTATTTACTGCTGAGAGTGGGTGAAAGCATATCCACTAATTATAGCTGTATAGACAGAAAACTGTTTGTTTGTTTTTTACCTTCATTTGGATCAACCGCAAAAAAACAAATGTGAGGAAGGCTGAACTTGATGGACCCAAGTCTCTTCAGCTATGTAACTAGTTAACAGAAGCTCTGCACAACCCCAGGTGTAGTTATATGCCAAGCATACATCAAATAGTTTTCCATGTAATATTACACCTGGAATATTAATTAAATAAGCAATTAGTGGCCACATAGCTACCCTTTAGTCTGGACAGTTCCAATGGTTAAAGGTTACTAAATATTTTGACTTGATGCCTTAAAAATGGGGATACTTGTTCCTCCTCACCACCAACTCTCATCTTAAATACTAGACCCCAAAGAATATAGTCCAATATCTATTTATGAAACTTGACCATTAGAGTTGATGAATGCAGAAGTACCATTCACACTAAATTCAAATCTTCTTTTGTGGCAAGACAACTCAACAAGCTAAATTATTCTATTTCGGAACTAGCTTTACTGTGATTCGAGCACTTGTATAAACCTGGCAGGTAGGTGGTGGAATACAACTGCTTAGAGGGATTGGATTGTTCTGGATTCATGAACTTTGCATCCTGAAGGTCTGGATGATGACAAAGATTTTTGTATCTAATTGGAATGTGGCATATTTGGCTTTCCAGTTTCTTGGAGCGTGATTTTCTGCTGTCTAGTCTTCTGATTTTATTTGTCTTTATTAGTGATATCCCAAACTGTTCGCCGAACGGTTCGCCACGAACGGTTCGTGCGGACTCCCGTCAGCTGACACATTCCAGCCAATCAGCAGCAGACCCTCCCTTCCAGACTCTCCCACCTCCTGGACAGCTCACTAAGAATGCAGCTGGAATGTGTCAGCTGACTGGAGTCCGTGGCGAACCTTTCGGCGAACAGTTCGGGACATCACTAGTCTTTATTTATGTTTTTGTTTTTTCTTGCAGATGTACTTTTTAGGTGTTATGGTTGATGTTGTCTATAGTGGCTTCCAGAAGCATGATACTCTGGTTTTAATTTCGATAGATTCAGGGCCATTTGAAAGTATGAACTGAACTGCAAAAAGCCTGTCTAGCATTCTTACTTTTATTTTTTTGATGCTTTGCTGGAATTTTTCAATCTTACTGTCTTAGAAAATCATGAGTGAACCTAAAATTCGACCCCTCCGGTCAGCCCCTAAACCACTTATGCTAAAACAAAAGGCTCACTTATTGGCAAATACTGGCTAATCAGAGGTGTGAAGACATGTGGCTCTCCAGATGTTACAGAATCTCAACTCCTCCTGTGATCCCACATTGTAGTTTTGTCAAAGCCGGAAAACCATAAATTGCCTGCCTATATATTAGAATCTGCTGTTTATCCCACTATGCGTGAAATGGCCGACTAGTTATATGTTAGCTGCTTGTGGTATCATTGTGTTGTACTCAATCCTGATTCAAGCTCCATTTTAATTCTGTCTCTCCTTCCAGTTCGCTGCAACGTACAGATTACCTGCCCTCTTCTGCACACAGCCAGGAACCTGTCTTGAGACGAGCCTCGGGATGTCAGGTAAATGTAAAGGCTTTATAATTGCATGCCCCTTTTGTTTGATACAACTGTTAGGAGTTGTGAAAACGTCTTAATCTTTGTTACAGGCATCCTTTAAACTAGTAAACAATGCTAAGAGGAGGGAGATGGCTGATTATCACATTGCATTTGGGAAGCAGTAGAAAGGGCATATGTAGTGTGTATGTTAATTTCTCCATTGATAGGTCTAAATAAAGGTTCAAAATGTACATTTTAGAAAACATTGATCAGGTGCCATAACGGGCAAAATAGGCTGGCTCTGCTGTTGCCAAAACTTGTACCTTTTAGGAAGGCTTCCCTGCTGCATTTATTTTTATTATTTATATATGTATTCCGAACACTACAGCCCAGATGTAGCTATTTAGTTTATGTCCCCCTAGGTATTTATATAAAAAAAAGAAATGAAAATAAAATTATCTACTCACCTTTTTTTTTCATCGCCGAGTCTTCCTTGGTGCTGCCGCCACCTCCTCCCCAGGTGATGTCTTGCTGGAAGCATGCCTGCAGGTTACCTGTCAAATGCAGTGCGCCTGGCGACCTTAGGTGCTCACCACATTGCTCCTAAGATTCTGCATAGAGAATAATTAAATACAATGATTCTCTATGGCAGATTGTGACAGCACTGTGCATGTGCTATGGTATGAGAGCATGGAAGTAAGATTACCGACTCTCATATCCAGAAGCTTGAAAGCGTGGCTTGAGGCTACACTTACAAGCCTTCTAATTAGTGAGATAAGGGTTTTTTGGGGGGGCAATAGTGGGGGAGACAGGACTACAGGCACTTTAACAAGCATTACCCATACTGGACGGCACACGTCCTTCTATGGCTTCCAATTCTGGGAGCTGTGTCCGTGTGTGTGCGCTTCGTAAGAGGTGCTTTTTTTGTTTTATTTCGTTTTTTTAGACATGACAAATCACAGCTAAAATACAGATTCTTAATCTGAAAGACTTTATTATTCTATATGTAAAAACAAGCCTTGATTTGTCTTGCTGGAGAGTTCCTGTGCATGATGCATCGCATAATTTCATTGTAGAGTGTACATGTCATGACGGAAATAGGTTTACATTAAATGAAAGTATAGAACATTTTATTTCTTATAATAAATCCGCTGACCAATGTTTCCCCTGTGCTGTAGTTGCTATAATTATTCCTCTGGATACAGGGTTTTGTCCTTTGCTAGTGCGCAAGTGTGCTGACATTTAAAAGAGTGTGTCATAGAAGTGTTCCCAAGCCTGACCAATCAGATAGGAGGGCGTTAAACAGACTCAAAGGTGCTACTTGAATGTCAACATAATCATTATTACTAGTATTTATAAAAGCGCCAACAAGTTCTGTAGCGCTGTAATACTCACGACCACGCATACTGGTGATGGTGTTGGCTCTAGAGGAGACGAAGATATTTAATATCCTTTTAAACAATTTAAATATGTAATGTATCACTGTGATAAATAATTTATTAATTAGATAAATGCTAGATTTAGTAAACAACTTTGATATTGTTTTCTGATATTACTATTTACCAAGAATTGTATTTAAAAGAAATCTGTGGACTCGTCACCCTTTTTCCACCTACATTGCTGCTAGTTATTCGGCCCTTGGTCGAAAGCATGCACTTGTCAGACCAAAGATAACATTGGTTTGCCAGCCCCACATTCATTTTCTGATTACGTCAGTGCGTTATCAGACAAAGCAGTGATCTTTGGTTTGGTAAAAGCTTGTGAGTGTCATGTAAATGGCAGTGTGAAGGTGGACAAGGACTGATAACCTGGCATTGTTCTTTTAATGAAAAACTCTACTACTTTTTTAAAATTTCTTTATTTCTTTATATTGACTGATTAAAAACAAACAACTTTATTAAGCCGTGCATTTCACATCTTACCTGCCCTAACTGTATCTTTAAAAAAAAAAACCCTGCTTAATATAACACACCATTAGCACAGCTTGTATTCTACTTAATTAATTTAACCTAAAGTAACACTCTCACCGCTTTGCCTAATTCGCAAAGTCCCCCCGACAGCGACATTGGCGCTGAGGTCAGTGTCCAAGGGGCAGGTAAAGGTAGGATTTACTGACCTGAATCAGTCCCTTGAGGGCTCAGCCATCTTGATCCGTCTGGTTCTCTTTGGAGCAGACGTCACCGCATGAGCTAGAGTACAGCACTGAGGTGTATGGAGGATCTTGTAAGCCAATTCCCTGCAGCAGTCTCTGGTGATGGCTTTTGGGATTGACATTTAGACTCTACCTGGAGTCTAAAAAAGTCAGGCGGAGGAGAAATAGAGGGACAAAGTAGTGCCTACTCACTCTGTAGATCGCTTGACTGGCTTGGAATTTCAGTAAAATTCCAACAGCCAAAATTAGTATTTAATAAAGATTGTATATATATGAAATAATCTTTTGGGCGGGGGGAGGGGAGTGCCCCGACAGTGCCACTTTAAGTCACAATGCAACACATAGAGATCTGTGCACTAAAAGCATAAACAGTCATAGGCTTCCCAATTTCTATTTTTAGAACTCTTTCAGTCTGTTATTATGAATCGGTGTGCTGTGATGGTGTTTGGGAAATAGAAGACCGCTTGTGGAATAGCACAGCTTAGTTAATATTGCCCTTGTCCTTTGTTGTCCTTTGTTCACATTTTTGCTGATAGTGTGCCATAAAGGGTGCCCAGCCTTATTGTTATTCGTTAGCAGACATATGACCAAGAGAAATATCTGGTCTGGCCATCACTGTCTCTTTTCTCCTTTGTAATCAAAGTGCCCAAGCAAGTCCAGACTGGAAGGTGTTAAACACAGCTTGAGACAGGGAGCTTTGGGAGTGGTGCCAGGGCTCAGCGTTACCAGGGAGCTGTTTCCCCTGGCAGTCTGATACACCAGCCGGTGGCATGTGTGTGTGTGTATGGTGGGGGGAGAGCAGGAACGAGAGAGACAGAATGTGGAAGACCTATGAACGAGCGCCAGTGAGCATGGTACAGGGTGGTACTTGGGAATCCTATGCAAAATGTATACAATGCAGATATAAAACCATCTGTTTTAACAACATGCTGAAGTCCTTATACAGTTCTGCTGTTAGGCAAAATTGTAAACAACTGGTGCAATATGAAATCACATTTGTTTTGTTGTACAGAAGAGATCAAAATATCATAATATTAACTGTTTAATATTCAGATTGCCATTATCGTAAGGTACAAGTATATATGTTGGCATTGGTTTGTGTTGTACACAGTATCTAGCCAGGAAATAAAATCACATGACTCATGAATGCATGGCCGATAAAACTCTGTATATTAAGATCCTTTTGATTAAGCCATAATTTATAATTATTATATGTGTGTGTACAAAAATGTGTAGGTTATGGTGGAGCGCTTAGTGAATTGTTGTAATGTGATACAAATTTATATGAATGTATTAGTATCAAATAAAGTGCTCCACATTTTGAATGTTTAAAGTTATTTTAAGGATAAGTTGAGGGTGTACCACATTTTTATACATGTTAGAGCACATCATTTTTAGTTTCATATATAAGAAAACATATAAATTCTGGGAAAAGTCCAAAAGTGTATGGTTTTTTTTTTTTTAATTCTGCGCAAGATGTGTTGCTTTAACTCACTCTCCTGTGGTTTAGAAAGGCCTACTCAAGGGCGTGCAAATGATCTATAAATATAATAAAACAACATTTTCTTTCAAGCCTTAATGGAGGTCTCAGTAGATTCTTTGAAAACGCCAACACATTAGAACGTCAGGTGCTAAACATCTGCTTTAAAATAAGAGAGGAGATGCACTGAATCCCCTATTTACTGCAGGGTATGGGCCTAACGCAGAATTTTTTGTTTTGTTTGTTTTTTAAATGATTTAATTAGAATTATTTTTTGTTCATTTATTTGGAGTGGCGGTTCTTTCAGGCTGGACATTTAGAGGTCACGACTTGCGCATCGACTAGTAACTAAGTCTAGCACTGGCTGGAATTTGGTAGTCGCTACAGTTATTTGACGCCTAACTAGTTACTTTCTGTGTCAATCAGACCCACCATCGTATTTGCTGAGTCGATCATCTCTTTAAGCATTTGTCAGGCATTTATAATTTTTTCTTCCTTTATGATATATATATATTTTTTATTATAGTGAAGTGACACAAACTCCCGGACAGATTAATTCTAAAATTCGTTAAAGTAAATGTTTTTATACAACAAGCCACTAGTAACAAACCGTTGGAACGTCCCGCCAGCTCGTTTGCAGGGTGAACCACAAATATTTGTATATTTTTGAGTCGAACAAAGGCTTGGCCCTAGAACATTTGGTTTGTCGAGTATTAATGCTTCGGTATTGAGGATGAGGTGTGGCTGGAAAATGAAAACAGGTCATGGGGAGATAGCTATGTCTGTCCGAGTGAAAATAAAATTGTAGGGAAGGAAAGGAAAATATGCAATCATGGAAGCCTCTATGGCGTGGAAAAGAGCCAACAGTGTGTGACAAGGTATGAGATAACAATGAAACCTGATTAACTCCAGATTTCAGGGAGTCATGCAATGGTAGGAGTCCTTCTAAAAGACTCTATGCAGATATGCATCTTCTGTTCACAGAATTGGCACCTTAGACATAAAAAGTATCCACATGCAAATAAGTGTTTTATTCTAGTAAATTCCACTGGGTACACTGGACAAGCCATGTCTCTGTGGCACCACGCTAGCTGAAAATCATTGCGGGCGCCAGCCTGGTATCCTGGCATGAGACGCAGTGCTGCGTGTTATGAATTAATGAGAAGGGGGGGAGGGAAACAGAAGAGACAGACAGTAATGGAGGGGTGAATAAAATGTAAGTAGAGAAAGTATGGGGGGAGCGACAGAGTGCAAAAAATAGACATTTAAGAGACAAACCTTGCAGTCTTAAGACCAACCGAGAACGTATGAACGTTCTATATACCTGCAGCAAAAGGAAAATGTGCAGAAAAAAAAAAAAATGAAGAACAGGCTGGATATTATTACCAAAAAAAAAGACCTTCTGAAAGAAGGCTCAAGACAGGGGGAGAGAGAGTGTGTGTGTGTGTAGTGTGAGACACAAAGGTGTGAGAAATTGTAGAAAAAGAGGTGTGAGGAACAGAAGAGACTAGACAGACAGGCGAGGGAGGGTGAGGAAGTGTAAGAGCGAAAGAAGGAAGCAGACACAAAGGAAGAGAGATATCTGGGCATGTGCCCAATATATTGAGTGGCTTAGTATAAATCAGCTCCCATAGCAACAAGGACCTGCGTTAAGGGCAGGATTCCCGTCTGTGCCACCCTTTATCGTCTATAATCTATATCGTTTTTGTAGCCCTATTTTTAATTCTTTATAGCTAGTGTCTCGGAAAAAGGCATTATGGATACAACTTTTTTTTCTTTCCATTCACCAATGCATATGTATAATTAAAATACATGAATAGCATGTTTTAAAATCATTCTTATTTGTTTTTAAAAATAGAAAATGCAAGCTTTTTGGTTTTGTTTATTGAATAGTTTTTTAATCAAAACCGTACTGGACAAGAATCCTAAAATGCTGGTATTTAGGAAGATATGTGTGATATACATGCTTGCCAACACACCGATTGCGTGCTCATAATTCTATTGCATACTGTGCACTTTAGTGATGTGTTGTATGCTGTAAGCACGCTCACCGTAACACATCCACAGGACAGAAATGTAAGTGATGATGAAACACTACTTTAATGTGAATCTAGTTCATTTCTGTATGAACTGAATATTTAAAAACAAAGTTTGTCAATTTAGGAATAAAACAGATCAATCCAGGATCAAACAAAAGGAAGAATGGATGAATACAAAGATGTCAAGGTGGCTCAAGAATAAAATGAAATGTTTATTACAAAACGTTAAAACAATCTTTACAAATAAAATATAGCAAATCTGTAAAATCTAAAATGCAGCTCAACACATTGCTGGCTGGAAATATTTTTAATACTAAAGATATACTTAGATATACTAAAGATATATCGAGATATACTTAGGGCCAATCTGTTTAGTCAAGGAATAGGTGTAGTATAGGGTTCTGTAACCCCTGCCCCGGTCCCTGATACAAACACAGGAAGAGGTCAGGTATATTAGTTATGGTGTGAAGGAGGGTCTTATTCCTTGCTTTACCCAATTACCAGACTTGGGGCACAATTTGACAGTGTTGATGGCATACAATTATCCCTTAATGTTGGAAACAATATGCACTCTGAAAGAATTCACAGTTTAAGTTGGTGTTATTGATAGCAAATGTATTTTAATGTAAGTAATTCCGTTATAAACAGGGCTGCAAAAAAAATTTTTAAATTCAAGGGGGAGGATAATTCAAAAAGTTACATTGCCTTAAAGGACCACTATAGTGCCAGGAAAACATACTCGTTTTCCTGGCACTATAGTGCCCTGAGGGTGCCCCCACCCTCAGGGTCCCCCTCCCGCCGGGCTCTAGGGGGAGGAAGGGGTTAAACGTACCTCTGTCTGCAGCGCCGGGCGGGGGACTCTCTGCCTCCTCTCCTCCTCCTCCTCGCGCCCGCAAGCCAGTCCAATTCTCTTGCTATGTTTATAGAAAAAAAGGGTTACACCTAGCTGGACCAGGCACCCAGACCACTTCATTAAGCTGAAGTGGTCTGGGTGCCTATAGTGGTCCTTTAAAGAAAGGCAAGATATTTTTAAACACATGGGGAGATTTATCAAGGTAAAATATGTGCAATATCTAAAAAAAAACAATTTAAAAAAAAAATCAGATAAACATACAAGCAGGATCTCTATTAAAAGGCCACGGGGGAAATACTCAGGACTTGGCAATAAGCACCAATATTATACAATTTGTGTAGAATATGGTAAAACCACAATTTTTATTCAAAGATCAGAACTTCTGAACAGCGGTTATTCTGTCTGAATTAAATAATCAGTTACTATGTATGAAATCATAAGACCCAAGGAATATACACTCTCTGAATGTTCTAAAACTCTATGGCCTTGTGCATGTCGGAAAACTTGGTTTGTACGAAAAATTAATTTTGGTTTGTCCAAACCTCTTTACGTCCATTGATCCAGTTCAGACAAAATTTGGTCCAATATTTTCAGTTCATTTTATGATTCAGACAAATCAAATTGCACAAACCCTTTCTTCATATTTCAGATATTTTGCTAAATAGTATCCTAATTTGGTATATATGGGATTTACATGTTTAAGGATACCAAATAAGGAAGCTAGCTACTAAACACAACAGTTCCCTAATTTGGCACCCTTACATAAGGAACATAATACAAAGACTGTTCCAGCTTACATAAGGAACATAATACAAAGACTGTTCCAATCACACTTTTAAAATACCTGCCAAATTACATGAGGTACAAATAATGTGTACTATCAAGTCTGCTGATTTATGTACATGGACAGATGTACACAATTCATAAAAGAGTGAGGCAATAAAATATCTCATGCCAAGATCCCTTTATCAACGTACCAGGGAGAAGGACAGAACAAAAAACCCACACAAGGGTTAGGGATCTTCCGATATAATTTTTCCAGAGCCGAATCCCATACAAATTATCGGTCGCCTTTCAGGCCAATGATGATGACTGGTGCTGATATTTTGTACATCTATTGTTTTCAAAAAGTAATACAATTTGTACACAAATCTGGCATTAACAAAACATGGTGACAGCAATCAAGCTCTTATCATTCTCAGGCAGCCAGCATGTACAGTGCTGTTACTGATAGTGCGGTTGCTGAGCTCCGTGTGCGGGACTCACAGAAAGGAGTAATGTGAGGTCACGACCTGGCGCTTCTTTGGCTGGTGGCTAGTGTTTTCGGATGAAGAAGGCAGCGTGTGGTGATAGGTAATATTGGTAAATCGCAAGGCCTATACCAATTATCGGTAAAATGCTGAGTATCGGCTCTAATAATCAGCGGAACAGATAATTGGTGTACCCCTAGTAAGGATACCAATTATGTGAATTCGTCCTAATGAACAAATACTTCTACTATGCAGTTAGGGAATTCGGACAAATGGCTGAGTATGCCAATTTTCATTCAAATCGCGGTTCAGACAAATTTGAATGCTCAACTCTACAACCATCCCCATCAAAACATTAGACTACCTTAAAGCATAGTAATTAAAAATAATATCCCAGGAGGGATCAGGTAGGTTCCAAATAATGTATGTCTACCTGGTCCACATGTAATTTTCTTGGTGAAGGTAAAGTGGGTTGCATAAGTTAGGGTAGGGCTGTCAGACCTTGAAAAACCACTAAAGATTTATAAGAGCTTAGAGAGTGCCCTACATAGAAGAAACTATATCAGAAAAGGGACGCAGAACAGGTGACCACACTGTAACTCTAAACCTGAAAAGGATTAGGTCGTCTTTGGTTGAGCGAGGATTGGCTGCTCTGAAGCAGAGATCAGTTGATGGTTAACGCAGGAAGAGTCTGATCGCTATCAAAGACGACATTCACGGATAAATGGTAATGTGATAACTTGCTAAGGGATACAGTGCATCTGGATTTATAACATTTTATCACTGCCCACATTTAGTACAGGTCTGGAAAAATTATCAACAAGGTTATCCAACCGAAAGAGTAAGTTACTAGACCCAGGAAGGAAACTTTTATAGCAGCTGAGCAGAATTCTATACCCCTCTCCTAGATTTTCATACTGGTCACAGGTGAGTGCTCTAGTGTTGAATATTCCTGGGGGAGTGCTTGTATTTATCATTAAGTAAATTTTATAAAGCTTTGCCTTATAGGACAATGCTGTTTCTAAATTGGTTAGGTTTAGTAATTGGGTTTGAGAGTGCAGAGAACTTCACAAGCGTCCCCTATTTTGAAAGTCTGCATTTTTTAAGGTAGACTGTACACACTTGACCAACTTAATTGTATTGAATTAGGCTTGCAGTCCTCACCTGGCCCACACCCCCCAAAATCCTTTATTTCACTAATTAGAGGACTTGGAAGTGAGGCTTCAGATCTCTAAGCCCTCTGGATTTGAGAGCCAGGAATCTTACTTCCGGGTGTGAATACCATGACGTCATGTGCATAGGCGCAGTGCCATCACGGACGGCTGTAGAGAATCATTGTATTTAATGATACTGTATGGCAGGATCTTAAGTGCATTGGAGCAAGCGCCGCGCATGTTCCCAGTGCTCCTCTGTTAGGGATGAAGCAACCCGACAATTTGGTTGCGGTAACACCAAGGGAGACTTTGCACTGGAGAATTTATTTTTTATTTTTTTTGAGGAAGGCAGATATAAATTGTACATGCACAGGGGCACTTACTGGTGAGTTTGCTGGACTGAAAATCAAATCTGGTTTTCCCAGTTATGTTACCAATGCTCTAGCCAGCCAATATATTGGCTGTTAAAGCGGCACTGTCCAATCCCCAACTCCCAAAAATTACTTTTTCAAAAAAATTTAATCTTGATGAATTGCAAAATCTAGAGCAAAAAAGTTGCAAATGGGAGGAAAATGTACAACCTTATTTGCCTAAATTACTCACTACATTTTACTGTTGACTGAAAAAAATCCTCAATTTGAACTTCTCCCAGCATGGTATTCTCCACTATTGTATGAAGATATAACTGGCTATTTATATTTAGTTTCTAAGCAAGAAGCTTTTGTCATAGGTATTGCAGAAACCGATGAGCTAAATGTAGTTTAACCAGCCTTCCCACTCATGCAAAAAAAGCATAGGGTAGGGTTGAATTGACATCTGTTGTAGTAATAATTGCCATTTTAAAGCAACCCCTAATTGGGAAATGTGGTCAGATTTGTACTGTCGAAATAACTTCCCCATGTTACAAACAACAAAACTGCATTAATATATTACATTATTTAATCTCATGGGAAACGGGCATAGACTGAGAACACGTTTTTCTTTCACACCCATAGGTTCTCCTTTAAGCTGCTAATTAAGTAAATCAGTTCCCAGACAAATGAGCTTTAAGCAGCAACCTGTAAACTGGGAAGAGACGGTAAATGAATCATTAGGCGGCCTTTGAGGGTAAACGACTGCCTTCAAATCTAAAAGAGCATGTAAGTAAGGTGTTAATCAAAACCTGCAATGTACAAACATAAAATAGCATGCAATGTAAAAATAGAGATATCGGTGGCCCCCAGTTTTGTCTCATGAGACCAAAGTTCTATACTTAAAGTGACACTATAGTGAACAGAACTACAGCTTATTGTATTTGTTCTGGTGAGTATAATCATTCCCTTCAGGCTTTTTGCAGCAAACACTATGTGTTTCAGAGAAAATTTACACTTACAGCCTAGGGATACCTCCACTGGCCACTCCTTAGGTGGCTACTAGAGATGCTTCCTGGGGCAGTGCTGAACAGTGAGTAGCACTGCCATTCAGTATCTCCACCCTCTGCATGGAGACACTGAACTTTCCTTAGAGCTGCATTGATTCAATAATCTCTGTGAGGAGTTGCTGACTGGCCAGGGCTGTGTTTGGCTTGTGCTGGCTCTGCCTCAATCTGCCTCCTTGATATGTAAAAGCATTGTCATTGGCTCAGAAAAACACTTCTGATGATGTCTGCCAATCAAGCAGATCAGGGGCAGAGCCAGCAGCTGCAGACTTGAACAAAAGTCAGATTATACTATAGTAAGGGAGGACAGGGCGGCTAGATGGTGGTTTTAACACTATAGTGTAGGATATACATAGCCAACCCTATAGTTCTTCTTTTACTGAGCAGCAAAGGAAGACAAAATGGATGACTTGGTCCTCCCTTTTATAGGATTGGAGTTATTCTGATTTGGTTTATTTGTTACTTTGAATGTAGTTGTTCTGATATAACATTTTTTTTTTTAAGTCTACTGATTTTTCTAATATTTCTTTTCTGCTGAGAGAACTAAAGAAAGAGTGTAGTGTAATAGGATTCTCCATGTGTTTAATAAAATTCGTAACCAACTCATAGACTTACAATATGTATTGGAATGCAGGCAGTGACAAGTATGAAAGAGATAGCCCTGAAACGTGGACTGTATATGAAGTGTCGGATAACCAAAAAATGAGAAGTCTTTGATTTTTGTTTTTCATACAAAATGTCTAATTGGCTCTTGCTTGTACAAATCACGTTGTTCCTGCTTTCATCGCTGATCTCTCAAATTGCCATCTCGTAATATTGTGATAGATAAGCAAAGTAAAATAAAGATGTTTGTGAATTATGTTTAAATATAGGCTGGCTGTGATTCCTGGGAAATGTAGTGTCAACGTTAACCATCAGTGTTCTTGTACAAAGTAGAAGCATTGTCAAAGTTAGAGTAAAACGAGCTGCCGTATTGATTTCATAACAGAGTACAATTTACTTTGCTCAAAGACTCATGTTGCTGTATAAGCAGATAATAATTTTTATCAAATAATGCATGCAACACAACCCAATACCGAACTATCAATTGCCTTGTTATAAAAATGCTTGTTTCAAACTACATTTTTGTAGTCTGTTACAAAAGCAAAATTTCTGTTCCCAAATCATGAGTGATGTTGCCAAAGTTACCTCTGTTGTAGTCTACTAGAAAATGACAACTCTCGTAAAAAAAAGTTGTGTTTTTTTATCAGTTATGTTGCTGACCTTTATTATTATTATTATGTTATTGTTATTATTATTATTATAATAAACAGACCTTTGCTGTAGTCTGCTAGAAAAGTATTGCTCCTTGTGAGAAAGTATTCCATACCTTCTACATTCTCAAACGTATCAATGATGCAGTCTGCTACAAAAGAAAAAAACGGCTTCCATTTATTTGTCAGCCTTTATTGATGTACTTTGGATAATTACAAACACACAAAAAAAACAAGTAGGCTGGTGGCAGGTGAACCTACATAGTAAATGGAAGTGAAGGTTGCCTAATTTGGATGCTAAATATCCTTTCCTGCCAGAAATCCGACATAGATGCAATAGCTCCCGCTTCTCTAACATGTGTGGGATTGCCAAGTGCTTTGCCAGTTAATTGGCAAATTGTGATGTACGGATCAGTCTATGAACTTTCCCTTCATTAATGAAAGTATCTAATTTGATTCTCATGCAGAAAGCTCTCCTGCAAATTGCAAACAAAAAATACATTCTGTTCCGATACCTTGAGCTTACTGCACTCGTGATGACCAACGTTCTTGGCCGTGCCTCGCAGTTTAACCTCTTCCTTGCCAGGAGTAATAGAAAACCATTAAGATAGTTTGGCCGTGGATAAAGCTTCAAAGAAGATTTTTTTTAAATTGTTTTTAATTTTTATAAAATACGTTCATGCCCTAAAAGGAAAGCTGACTTTTTTTTTATTTTTATTTTATTTTTAATTTTGTTGACCGAGTGAAAAGCAGGTTATTATCGGTATAATAAAATGGGTACACTTTTGCAATTAGTTTGCACCTCCAATTTCAATTTAGAGAGTTCACATCTGCACATCAGTTGCAATTCAGTTGAGATCCAGGGTGGAACGAATGGCCAAAGGAGAAAGAGAAGGCAGTAAAAAGGGAGAGACGGGTGTGGAAAGGGGATGGACGTAAAGAGACTATTGAAAAAAGAACCGTGCAGGAAAATGAAGGCATTAGAGGCTGGGAGAGAAATGGCACAAAAAAAGAGGAAGCATAGGAATGAATTCATAGACATTAGGGTGGAGGCAATGAGGAAGCTACAGAAGGCGTGACAGTGTACCGAAGGAGGAGTAAAAATGATTGGTGGTAGGGATGGCCAGAGACCGGGAGATCGATAATGAAAGAAATTTTAGGTAAACCAATGAAGACAGTGGGTGGTGGGAATGAGTATAGGGAGGACAAAACAGTCAAGGTAAGCTTAAGGTTAAGTAAAGAGGGTGTTATTGACTCATGCACACCCACCCAAAGAACCCAGTGCAAACAGAACAGAATGGAGACATTGTGATGAAAAGATTTGATGCAGGCTAGGTAAGAATCGGGAGGTGGAGAGAAAAAACCCCATAAAGATCAGAGAGTGAGACATACAAGAGATGCAGTGATACACAGAATGCAGTATACGGAGAGAACAGATTGAAAGGTGAAAAAAAAGGTTTGTTCAATTTCAGGTCAATTGCTGCCAAGCTAATCCAATGCCAGTCTGTGCCAGTGTGCGACCTACGTTTATCTTCTCTGGACTCTCCTTTGTTCTTTTCCGTTGAGATGGAGTGTCCGAAAGGGAGGGGGAGGAAGGAAAGAAGGGCCGCGAAAATGCAACGCCGCCTCCAGTGTCATGGCACAGGGCCCAAAGCCTCTTCCCCCATCGGTCAGCTTGTAACATGGCCGTTCCCTTTCTGACAGTGTGTGTGTGTGTGTGTGAGAGAGAGACTGGGAAAGGCTGGAGAGGCAGGGACTTGGAGGCAGCAATGAATACAGTCGATGAGATAATTGAAGACAGCAGTGTAAAGATAGCCTTTTCTTCTGCAGTAATTAAGGGCCTACTTTATTTTAATGGCGAATATGCCAAGTGGCGGAGAGTGAGCAGTACCCGTATTCCCTTGAAACATGTTTCTCGATTTAGATACCATAGGCAACAGCAAAACCATTTTACAGCAGTGTTTCATTCAGATGCAAAAGCAACACATTGGGTAACTCTGCACATGGATACACTATTTACACTGCAGATCAGTGATTCTTTATAATTTATAACTACACCACAGACTGATGTTAGAATGCTATTTTCCCAATCACAGGTACACAAACTGCCCAGACTTGCCACCAGCCCGGCCGCCACACAGCATGTCTCTGCTTCACGTCCTCAATGGTACGTATTCCAAGTCCCACATAATTTAAGCCTGCTCTGACATTGTGTCTTGTCTGTATAACGTAGATATACTGCTGGTTGCCATAAACCCGTAGATCCGAACTTGTGCTGTGCCCCTCTCACAAGCTCGAGTGTGCGGGTCTGTGTCGGCTTGGCTACGGCGGCATGACGTTTGCAGAATATGTATTGGTAAAATTAAGAGTTACTGCTTGTTTATTTTCATCTTTCTTTCAGGGTTCTATGAGTTTTCTGATGGGGCAACTGAGGTTTTGGGTCTTCTCCTGCAACTGGCTGGTTGTTTCTTGGTATTTTTCTGCTTACATCCGCAGTTTTTTTGTTTGTTTGTTTGTTTGTTTGTTTGTTTCTAGTGCTTTTGTCTGTGCTTCCATCTTTGTTCATGATGATCAGAACTTCTGTTCTTCCAGTGCGTACCATGGTAGACATATTTTTCAGGTCTGCTATTGGTAATCCACCACAAGATCATAAGGAGGTGAAAGCAATTACCTGGCACCAAGTTGTTGTGGATCACATTTGTTATGATCCTCAGCCAGACATCTGACTGCCTGAGTATCACCCGAAAGGTATACACAACAGCTTGCGTGCCAAAGGTTTGCCATCACCTCCACAGGATATCTGGGTTGTTGCTTTCTCATGGTCTGTTCTGTGTTGCTATTGCATAATGGTTTCTGTAAATGCTTTTTTGATTGTCATGATGTTTCCTCTGAGTGGTCTACGCCGCAGAGGGTTCTGGTTCCTTTCGTGTCCCGACCAGTGGGCTCCAGGTTGAGGTAGTAGGTTGTATAGTTGAGGATAACACCAAAGGAGATAACTGTACAGCCTCCTATCTTTCCCTGGGGTTTCGCCATGACAACAGTGATGGAACTCAAAAAATGACCACGGTAAAATGGTAACAAGGTGCAAAGATTTCTGTGCAGAATAGGACGTTAATAAGCAAGTGACTGTTTAATGTATGCACGTACTATTTTTAAGAATGTAAAATGACTGCTAAGTGTTTACGTATAGAAGACAAAGTCAAGAAGGGGAAGCTGTTATTTATAGTTTGCAGGTGAAACAGAAGATAAAGTGGGGGGGAAATGTTAACCACTAACTTTGAGCATATTTTAAAAATAAATTGTAATGAGTCATGTCCTTAGTTTATTGCTAATAATTTGATATATAGACTTGACCAGATAAATCGGTGTTTATGCAGTATTACTGATTCATGTCTGTTAAGTAAAGAGAGGTTCCTTTGCAAGTTATTGGAAGCTGCTATGACATAGCTCAACACCAAGTGGTTTCTCAACTTCAGGCTGAATACATCTACATCAGTGGTTCTCGAAGTATTAAAGCACCAAAACCACTTTGTTGATTTGAAGTGGTTGCTCGTGGTGTCTGTATGTGCAGCCTTTTGCTATGAAATGCTGCATATGGAGATAAACCACACTGCTGCCTCGGGTGTAACTCTACATCCGGCAGCTTCATGAAGAGTTCCGGGCTGACTAATATCAATTCTGTGCAAAATTGGTGTCTGATACCAGCACGCACTGCTTACTGGCACCAGATAGCCAACGACTGCCCACCCTCCCTTCAGCCCTCCAATTCCCCACATTAGCAGAGGAAGAGCGGCTGTGCAGGAAAACAGACCTTGTTGTTTTTTGTTTATTTTTTTTCCATTGGATGGGGTGGAAAACCACAGCAATGGTAACTAGAACCAAAACCAGTGCTGTATAAAAATACTTTTTATTTTTGGTTGGTTGGAGTAACCCTTTAAGCTAGTTTGTATGGACCGACCGTCAAATGATCCCATACGTTTTTTTTTATGTATATGTCAAGAAAACATGGGCAGTGATGGTTTGAGAAGTGCTAGCAGCATCACAGCAAAGAAGAGCAGACCTGGGATACTAGTACACCAGGTGCTGTTAAAAAAGACAGGTGATCTATGAAATTTATCTGTGGTGCTGGACTGGTGTGAATTAAACTGACCCATACCCTGTCTGGTTACTCATGGCAAAATAGAGGTGATTCACAGCTTTTTTCAGACCTATGCAAACTACAATGAGAAAATAAATCCAAGGCACACCTACGTTTTTTGTTTTTTTTTATCTTCATCAGCAGCTTGTAAACATCACATTCACTTCAATCCTAACTAGAAAGATATGCAGACTTCTAGCCAAGCCGACATATTAGTTTGTATTAATTGCCAGATGGGAATCCCAATGTTAACGCTGACACTTATTAAAAACACATTCTAAGAACGTGCATTCAGCCTCACAGAGTCACAAAGTCAATGTGCTCGTGGCACATACCACGACATAGCGTGCCATCTCGATATCGATATTATTAGGTCTGTGGCTGTAACCCCTATCTCTGGATCCAAAGTGGGGGGTCTCCCAGTGCAGGTTTGAGAGAACGACTATGCAAGTGTTACTTTACTCTGCAGTGTCAGTCATACTCTGTCACTTTTCCAGACGGCAGATGATGATTTTTTTTTTTTATTGTTTTGTGCCTTTCCCACCATGCAGTTTGAGGCTGTATGATATTTCAGTCCCTGTGTAGTTCACCCACAGAGCTGTCACAACTCCTCGTTCCTGCTGCACCCCCTGCTGTTGCAGTGCTAACCGCACAATGATCTGTCACTAGACTCCAGTCCTGCAGCGGCCCCTGCCGTGCAAGTACTAAGCATATATAGTGCAGTCAATATATCCTTCCCACTACAGTGCCCCCTGCTGTTCCTACATTAACCATACAAAGTACATCTGCTAGGTCTCAGTCTTACAGCTCCCCCCAGTGGGGCAGGTAGAGTATTGTTGTTATATCTGTTAGTGCTGCCAGTCTATCAACAATATTCGGGTCAGTCATAAACACACAAAGATGGTTAGAACACACGTCTACACTGAAATATATATAAGCAACATATAGGATAAAGGTAACAGTTTCAATGCTGGTGGCTTCGACCTATGATAGCTTGCTTATAGGGAACATCAGTTGATAGGGAAGGAGTTATGACATCTGGGTACCTATAAATATAATGTGCAAATATGTCTCAATCCAAAGGACAAATCTTGCATAAAAACAGCTTTCTTGTACTGGAGAAACAATGAAATTATGTTTTTACGTTCCATTTTTTTTTTCTTTTTAATATCGTTTATCGTTTTGTGTGTACCCTCCTAATTGCAAAAATGGAATATTCTATGTGCTTTTCTTTATATAAACATGTACATCTCCTGTCCTTTGGATAGAGATACAAATAGTTATCAGCATTAAAGTATAGAAATCCATGCCAAATGATTCAGGCACGTATCTGTCTAGACACAAGAAAAATCTGGAGCTAGCTTTACAGCCCCGATAGCGAGATTTCAATTTTTTTATTTTATTTTGTTTTATTATTAACAGTCGCACAAATATCAAACGGAAAAAAAGACATGTGCGGCACATTTACAAACAGGCTTAATAAAGAGCAAAAAATAATTTTGGAAACAGACTGCGACTGTCTGGAAGTGTGTACTCAATCTCAATAATAAAACGGGGCCAGACGTGCTGTACTGCCATCTTTGATACCCATTAACAATTCAGCCTGCGCACACACAATGCTAGGGCACACAGGTGCCACACAGGTACCCAGGCACACATACATAGTCCAAGCTATTGTACTTGTAAGTGTTGGGGGCCATAATGACCGGCGATCCTTTGTTTTGGAAACCTATATGAGATAAGTCCTATTCCTTTTTCGCTGAATGACATTACACCCTTTGCGTTCCATACGAACTTATATATAAAAGCAGCTACATTCTCTACTGCAATATAAATAGAAGGGTTAATTGTATTAGGATCAACACTATATATCCCCCATCTAATTTAAATTCTCCATTCTCACATTTTGCCACCCTGCTTTCTGCAAAGCACCCCCACCCCCCATACTCAGCCAGTCTACTGCCCTATCACCCCACACAGACACACACCCTCCCTTTCACTGTCTTGAGCCAGACAAGTTTAATAAATCCCCCCCATCCTGAGCAGAGCCGCATTGCGCTTTCTGCCTGTCTGGAAATGAAAGGCAGCCCAGGGGCGGGGAGAGAGCAGGGGAGGGGAGGGAGGGATGGAGCCAGAGAGAATGGAGGGAGAGCAGAAAGGGGGGGAAGAGAGAGAGAGAGAATAGCTATAGAAGGGAGGAAGAAGGAAGAGAGAATGGGCAGAGAGACAAGGAAATTAGAGAAAAGCAGAAAAAGGTAGGGAAGGAGCTGCTGGAATAGATTACTATAGATTTGTAGAGCAAATCGGAACGGAATGTAGCTGAATATGAAATGGAATAATTCGTAATGTATGCCTTTAATATACAGAGAAGGTGAGATGGCAATCTCAGGCAGCTAACAAAGCAGAGTTATTGACAAAGGGGAAGGGAATCGGAGTAAAATGGGAGGGTGGGGAGGAAAAAGATCGGAAGGATGCAATTGTGACTGTTGCAGCGAGACGTAGGGATGGAAAAGTAAAATAGATGCGAGAATCGGCAGTGAAAGGTGGGAGAAGTAGGAAAGGCAGCAACACATGAAAGGAGAGTGAAGACAAAAGACAAAGGGGTATTCGGAAGGAGAACAGCAGGTAGAGAATGGACAAAGGTAGAGAAGGTGCGAAAGAGCGAAGCGTGGACGGGGGTTGGGACATGGAGTAAAAAATAATAATAAAATGACTGAGATAAAAACATTCAAAACTAAAGAGGGCTTTGAAAATAGAAAAAGTCAAATGGATGAAATGTCAGGAAAGGATTGTAACATAAGGGGGCAGGCAGGACAGTAGTGATGGAGAATTGGGGGGAATGGATGTGTCTGGGTAACAGGTGCAGCGAGATGCAAGGCGCCACACTTTTTTTCCTCGGTTTCCGAGGCCTGCAATGCTTAGAGCCGCAGAGATGCAGCGAGCACTGATATGCTACCTGTTACAGAGGCAATGGAGTGCATTTTGCTAGACACATTGCACAGCAGGATGCAAGGCTCTGTTGCCAGGTTTATGGGAGGGAGAAAGGGTGAGAGTGTATGTGAGGGCAGAGGGGAGGGAGGGCATGGAACAGCCTCTCTGGTGACGCTCCCTCCTCACAGTCAGAGGATGAGAAGACAGACAGCAAACAGGCTGCTCGAGGTCAGGTACTGAGCCTGAATCGGCTGCAATGAGTGTCAGTGTGTACGTGAAGCCGAGTGTCTGTCGGTTTATCGTTTGTGTGATACATGGCTGTGCAAGAAATTACACTGGAAGGTCTGTCTTGGCGCTGGTCTTTATGACTGTCTGAGAAAGGAATGGGTTTTTTGCAATATCCATTTGTGCTTGCTGGTTTTCATTTTATTTTTGTTTTAATTCTCAGTATTGTCGTTCTGTATATTAGTAGAGATTTCGTTGTATAAGGTCACACTTGATGTTAGATATGTCTGTGTGCATGCGTCCGTCTAACGATATACACTGTCTGGCTTAATGTGCATGTATGTTTTTGAGCAGTGATTCCAGTCTAGCCATGTGTGCTACACTATATATCATATTATTGTGGCATCAGCGGCTTGCCCTGTTTTAGTCTGTAATCCTTTGTGTGCCTGAGAGAGCCATTTTGTAAGTGTTGTTTAGATGTGTCATCCCAGACAGTCGCTAAAGATCTTTTTCCAAATCTTGCTCAGATTGTTGCACTTTTCAAGCTGGTATACGCGGATTTTGTCTTTTTGTTTTTTTAAATACGTTTTTGGATTGCTTCTTGTACATTCACTGTGCACCTGTCTGTTCATCTATCACTAAACATATAGATATAGAGCGAGAGATTCTTAACAAATCTATACAGTTCGCTGCCATCCGCCTGTCTATAAACCTGCCTGCATATCTAGGCATATACCCGCCTGCTGATCTGTCCATCTATTCATATACCTGTCTGCCCATCTGTCTATATCCCTACCTGCCTATCTCTGCACACAGACGCTCTACCATCTATCCATATACCCATTTACTTGTCTATGTAAAACTCTGCATGTTGATATAGATCGATATAAGAATATCTGACTGTCCATCTATCCATGTACATTTCTGCAAAAGATAAATCACTACCAGCTGTCATTTACTTGTGTCTTTCTTAACCAGAGTTCATTTGTCTGCAGGTACATGTTTCTCTACCAGTGTGTCAGACAAGGTGTGTCTACAGTCCAGCCATCCAAGTGTGTAAACTTGTGTTCGTCTGTGTGCCAGTCTTCATGTGCACTCACTCATTCTCAGCTGCAGATGCATAGCAGCATACAAGTATTCGAGAATGTCATTTTGATTCTTTTTATTTTTTTATTTTTTTTATGCCAGTATGCCTACCATTGTCTGCCACCCTTGTTGTCAATCAATATCTGTGTTTCTGTTTTTAGTTATTATGTACCTTGTTTAAATGTAACTGTGCATTAACTGATCCCTGTATTTTAAGTCTGTATTTCAGTCTGCACATTGGCTTTTATCTTGAATATAGCTGTACTACCAGTTCATTAGGATATCGAAAATGCAATTTGTTAATTCATGTAATTGTCTTGGAGCTAAGTGAGCATTATCGCACAAACTCTCATTGACACAATCGGTGTTAATCAAACGACTTTAATTCAGTACATCTCGTATTCCTGCTAACTAATGACTGGCGGTCTGAAAAGTTCTGCATTGTATGTGTCTGTGGCGCACATGTGCATGTGTGTGCATGCATGCGCTTGATGTGATATGTATGGTAACCAGTAGCCAATCGCTGAGAGATGCGTATATCAGACAGCAAGAATGATGCCTAAGTCCCAAGTCAGATTAAGATGAAAAATTATGGCTCCAGGCCACCTATGTATGGTTTCCCAATACCACTCCCTAAATTTCATTATAGCACAGACAGGATAGAGAGAGACCCGGGCTGGACACAGAATGCGCAGGTCAGCAGCCTTGCTCAACAGTGATTCAACAGAAGATATTTCATAGAATCTTTATTACATTACATGTATAAGAAACAATGTTAGGTTTTTTTTTGTCACTGTAGGAAAGCATTACTAAAAACATTCAACTGAGGTAAATCGCTGCGCAAGCAACTTTACAAAGTAAAAAATCCATTTAGTAAAAATATCAGGTTTCATTTGCTTAAACTTAAAAATACACTTATATAAGATTTTCAGTACAGTTGAGTTTGTCCATCTTACATCTCGAAAATGACTACTGTAGGGGCTTAATGCTCTCTCAATGTGCTTTTTGATTTGACTAATTTCATTATGTGTTTCTTAGTGTCTTGCGCTATTGTTCTGGGAGACATCGTCGAGGACCGCCCATGTAATGAGGTAAGAGTTACATCTATTACAAAAAAAAAAATGCATCCTCGCCTTTCAATGTCAGCTGTAGCAGGGGGTTGATAATCGATGGCATAGTTTAGTAGCTAAACCGATACTTTCAAACCAATAAATGGATAGATCAGTTGACTTCTACATATTATTATTTTTTTTATTATTATTGCCATTTATATAGCGCCAACAGATTCTGTAGCGCTTTACAATATTGTGAGAGGGGGGATTTAACTATAAATAGGACAATTACAAAAAACTTACGGGAACAATGGATTGAAGAGGACCCTGTTCAATCGAGCTTACATTCTATACAAGGTGGGGTGTAAAACACATTAGGACAGGTATTCGGAGCATGTAATTTAGGATTCAATGCTGCTCGCCTACTGGGATTTGTCATGCTCTGCCACATTCACACGCTTTACAGAATACATTGAACTATCTGAAGAGAGATTTAGAGCTCTAAATTGCTTTAGGCACATATATATGTCTTTCTTTACAACACTGCTCAAAAGTAAAAAAAAATCTGCTTGTGTGGCCAATATAACTTTATGTTCGATCTCTTCTTTTTATGTTCTATCCCCTTTAATATAGTTTATTACTTAAAGAACCCGTATTGTGGCATTAACTTCCTAGGTAGCAACATGGAAAGTCCCCCGGTTCTTATAACTAAAGTTTGGTTGGGTTAATCGGTTTAAGGGTTAACATAGAAACATAGAATGTGACGGCAGATAAGAACCATTCGGCCCATCTAGTCTGCCCAATTTTCTAAATACTTTCATTAGTCCTTAGCCTTATCTTATAGTTAGGATTGCCTTATGCCTATCCCACGCATGCTTAAATTCCTTTACTGTGTTAACCTCTACCACTTCAGCTGGAAGGCTATTCCATGCATCCACTACCCTCTCAGTAAAGTAATACTTTCTGATATTATTTTTAAACCTTTGTCCCTCTAATTTAAGACTATGTCCTCTTGTTGTGGTAGTTTTTCTTCTTTTAAATATAGTCTCCTCCTTTATTGTGTTGATTCCCTTTATATATTTAAATGTTTCTATCATATCCCCCCTGTCTCGTCTTTCCTACAAGCTATACATGTTAAGATCCTTTAACCTTTCCTGGTAAGTTTTATCCCGCAATCCATGAACCAGTTTAGTAGCCCTTCTAAATGCCGCATTCCACAAGTTGTTGCACTTTCTCAAAATGTAAATCCTCCTCCCATCCCCCCCCCCACACGTGACAATTAAAATATAACTCACAGCTTCATTAACAGATACCTTCTATCTGAATCTATGATGTAACATTCCGTATGCATTCTGTAATAAACTGCTTAAAGATTGCAAGCAGTATAGGCAACCTCGCTATCGCCAACTGGTGCAATTTCCATCACTTATTTAATAAGGGCTGAGCAGTGAAAAGTGACTCAGTGACATTAGCCAAGTTATTAACTCTATTCATTAACGTTCTGCAACTCTGTCCCTGTGGATCCTAAAACAGCCATCAGATATAGTAGATATTTTATTTTAATAATCGGTAGTACTTAAATCGCAGCTCACCTTGCATCAATCATGGTGTAGTTCCTTGCTATGGAACCAATACATTACCAAGCCATATGCGGCTTAAATTTTGCTCTTGATAACATACATGCTCCTGTACACTCGAACTGTTTTACAAGTCTACATTAAAAAAAAAGATTAGATTCTGTGAGTAAACTGATCAGATATTGCTTAGTTCTATAAACAACTCTTTACTCTGCCATGATCGCGATTGCCACAATGTAATATCACTGTCTCACGCACTACAATGAAATATATCACAATTATGTCACTGCACTAAGAATCCTATTACTGCATTGATTCTTGCATTGAGTTGAATAATGACTTTCTAGGCCTTCTTGCAAGCTGCCTGTGGGGCGTATACAGGAGATTAGAAAACTGCTGGATACTGTGCAATAAAGGAAACAGATTGTAATGGCGGCTTCCTGAGACCAGCCATTTTGGCAGCTCCATACATGCGAACAGGTGACTTCAGTATGCCGAAATGTCTTATTGTTCAGAAAAAACTCAAACTTTATTTATTTTATTTTTTTCCTGAGATAAGTTAAGCCGATAACAATTTGTTTTGCTACTTGGGTTGGATTTACATCACCAGTGCCTGTAGGCGGAGAATTCTCAGTCACTCTTCTTTTCTCTTCCCCAAAAAACATTATTTCTTGTTAACCCCATATTTTGCGAACACACAAAAGTACATCTCTCACTTTGCCCACCTGCAATTTAAAAATGCTATTGCCATGTAGCAGAAGTAAGAAGTATCTGGGAATGTTTTAGAATGGGAAAACTGTAGACTGTAGGTGCCCCTTGTAGACAGACAACTGAAAACAGTTGACTATTGACAAGTCCGCCCCGTTCCTTATCCTGGATTTTTGAGTTCCAAATCGTGTTTTTCAGGGAAACTCGGCAGAGCGCTTACAGCAAAGTAATGTCACGGTACAAAAGTGCCATCAAAAGAATGGTCACAAATTCAAAATTATTTTTTATTCATTAGTCCATTAACAGCAAAGATGTTGACTATTCTTCTAACCAGATAGGAAAGCATGGTGATGGGACAAGATGTTAAGGCAAAATATTTTGTCTTAAAATTAACCTGTTCCCACAATACTTGTCCAAATTGGAAGCCTAGACATAAATGTGAATATATGAATGCATGCCCAAATGGAGACGTGGAACGATATCTGCAAATTGTGTGTTTTGTGGGAATTTCTCCCCACGGACTAGATTCTATTATGAGAGCCAAGTGTAGATCTGATAATTGGATAGCAATTGTTCCAAAAATATCAATGGTAGAAATGATCTCTGGTCAATTACCATAGTTAAGCTTATCAGCCCTGCATATGCTCTTATCTGCTGCTTTGACACTAGAATAGACCATACCCCAGGTCCACCATTATCTTGGCATCCATACTATGTAACTAACAAAAGCCTGTCTGTTCTGCCTTCTACACTATTTCAAATGTCTGCTGATTTATGTCTTTGCAACTTTGCACCCAAATCTCTTCAAGAGCACTAATTAATCCTCACCTGCAGTGGCGTACACACAATCCATGGGCCCCGGTGTGAAACTGATCCGTGCCCCCCCCTATCCGCTCTCTCCCCCGATCCGTGCTCCCCTCTCTCCCCCAATACGTGCCCCCCCGACACATACATACATACAGACACACAAACAAACATACACACAGACAGACACACACACATACATCCCTCGACAGACAAATACATACAGACACACACACACATACATACATACAGAGACACAGGCACACACACATACATAGACACATACATACGGGGCCCCATGGATTGTGTGTACGCCACTGCATACATAGACACATACATACATAGACACACACACATACAGAGAGACACAGACACAGGGAAGGACGTCCAGCATGAGAGACACACACAGACGCGCACACATAAAGAGACACACACACACATACAGAGACACAGACACACATACACACAGAGACACAGAGACACACACACACACACACATACAGAGACACAGACACATACACATACAGAGACACAGACACACATACACAAAATGTTTCCTACCTTGTTACTTTCCCTGGGGTCTAGTGGTGGCTCAGCCTGATGGGAGTCAAAGTTCCCACCCTGACTCCCTCCTCCTCCTCCTTCCTCCCGCGCGGGCTCTCAGTATGCTGGGAGGAGTGGCCGGGAAATCACTTCCTCCCAGTGATGATGTAATCACAGTTTTCTCAGTTTCGTCTTAATTCTCAGATTTAATTCACCTGTCGGCATTAAAGAAATAAAATATGCATGATCACCTTCACTCACAGCATGTAAGCATGCATTATTTATCAGTTTTGACAAATTCCAGAAGCCAGGGGACATGCGTTCTGAATCGCAAGTCTATCTAGTTCCACCATGCTACAGACATTTGCCAACTGACATTGGCCAAAATCTAGCCTACATAATCTATGTAGCATTTATTGTCTTACTAACAACATCTTAACAAATTAACGTTTGATTTCTGTGTTTTATAGCAACCACACCACCGTTTTGTGAGAGAGCTGCACATTGACATATTCAGTATCTGGAATTTCTACTTTTTGATTTCATTTTTCAGACCTCACAAACAAATTGGGCGAGATTCTGGTAGCAGAGTAAATGGAGTAACGCTTTTCCCATAGATGTCATTGATGGAACTGCTATTCACTAGGCTAAGTTAACCAAAAATCTGCTAAGTGAATCCAGCTCATATTTTTTTTTTTTATTTAAATTTAGAGACAAGAGAACATTGTAAGTGATGGTTTCACTTTAAATACTGGGCTTACATTTATCAATAAACTAATATTATCTCGAACCTGTGCCATTGACTTGCTGTAAAACTTGACTTGGCTGTTAATTCCTGACTTTTTAATAAATAACGTGGCTGCTTTTATAAAGATAATGGGTTGGATTCTATAAACCTATAACGAGAATATAATAAAATTAGGGAAGATGTAGATCTGTGTTATCATAGACACATTTGTTAGTTTAGCAGCAGAGAGAAGACAGCACAGGCTTCTATGATTACACAGCCAGATTTCAAACCTAGAGCATGATCCAAGGTTATATTTTATTGCCAAAGCAATTGAATTTCTGTCCAAAGCATTGATCACCTATTGTTGTGTTACCGCCTGTGCTGGGAGGCCATTCCATGTAAATAAACATCCTATCTACACCAGCATTATTAGAGGAAATACAAAGCACAAAAGTATATACCCATTAACACCGAATGTATATGTAAAACTTTGGATTATTAATATATACAACTGACGCTATAGTTTTATCATAAGCCTATGTTATACTGGAATTATATATCTTTAACATTTAGCTTTCATTTGTTTTCAAGTACATCCTTGTGTGTGTATGTTATTGTCCCATTTAATGTGTTGCTTGTGGAATTACTTTGTTACAGTACCATGCACTGGTAGACTGGAAAAAGTTATTTTTGTTAGCCTAACATCTGATTACAAAGTGTCTGCTGTGTTAACCTGTTATGCATGTATTGTCATTCTTCTCCCAGCAGGTGGCACAGTGCTGATAGTAAAAAGGCTGGTCAGAAACTGCTTGATATTGGTATAGTTTAGCAGCATGCCTCTCTGTCCCTGAGACCCTTAACCTGTGAGGAAGACTGATGTCACAGGTGAGGTTCTGAGGAGCTGGGCAGCATGTGTTCACCACGCGGACTATATAGAGTTAAAGCAAGCATATCGGAGTCTCTGCTACTCAGCCAAGTCTGGTTTATGTGGAATCACAAGAAGCCAATCAAATTTATTACCTTTTTTATCTTGTGGGGATTATATCATTTTGCGGGAAATATATGTAGAAATTACCTGTATTTTTATGTTTTCTGCACACCGTTCACACCACTGGCTCGGATAGGTTTGGGAAAGCCCCTTTTAATTTCTAGTAGAACCACAAGCCTTTACTTGATTTCCTTCTTTTTTTTTTTTTATATTGAGACAGGCGACAATTTCCTGATTCATAGGCACCATATACAGCCCAACATGCAGACTGAAACATTTTTATTATTTTTATAAAGCAGCAACGTATTCCACAGCGCTGTACAATAAATGAGCTAATAAACAAGTAATTGCAACAAGAGAAGTTCAGCTTAAATACGTTTACATTGAAGAATGTGTTTAGGGTCAGTCAGAGTGTATGTCACATTAAATTAATGGCTGCTTTATCAGAGAACTGAAACTTCTATGGAAATCTTGATCAGGACACTGCCGGCTGCAAAGCCCAGACTTTATTTACTTTGTAAAATGGCCGGAATAAAAGGTAAGAATTGTTTGACACTCTTTTTTTAGAGAAAAGGGCAAGATGTGGCAGGTTTTCGTTTTTTGTTTATGTAGAATAAGAGGTGTTTGTTCTGGTGGCCTTGTGGGGGACTGCAATTCTACAATATAATTAAAAGGGTTAATATTTGGAAAAACTTTTAACTATGCAAACATTTGCAGGAAGAGATGGAAAAATAACACATTGTTTTGTTTAGTTTTTATTTGTCCATACAGGTTTATCAGATGTGGTTTTTGTGGCCAGCGAGCCTTGTTATCCAAAAAAGTTTGTATGAAGTCTTACATAACATAATTATTTACATCTGGGATAAGTAATGTATATAGAATGTTACCAAATGTTCACTTTTAAAGGGATCCTATAGTGCCAGGAAAACAAACCAGTTTTCCTTTCACTATGGGCTCCTGGAGTGCCCTTCTCACTCGGGGCTTCCCTCCCGCGTGGCTGAAGGGGCTAAAACCCCTTCAGCCACTTACCTGAATCCAGCGCCGATGTCCCTCGGCGCTGGGTCAGGCTCCACCCACGCTCTTCCCCCACCGACGTCAGCCGGCGGGGAGACCTAATGCGCATGCGCGGCAATGGTCATGCGTGTATTAGACCTCCCCATAGGAAAGCATCATTCAATGCTTTCCTATGGGGAAAATCTGTCTCTGGAGGTCCGTGAGTTTGCTGGGCAGAGATGTATGGGATGAGGTCAGACTCCATAGATCAGAATAAAAGCCTCATGATTGGTAGAGCTACTTCCTGGTCAAAGAAGTCTTCCAGCAGTCTGTGCAATTTGTGCTTTGTTAGGATCTATATAGGTAAGTATTTGTTGTTTATTATTTTTTTATTGTACATAATAGACATTTATCCCAGCAATCCTTTTCTATGATAGATTCCTGAGAGTTTTGTGAATAAAGGTGTTTGTATAAATTCCAACAATATGGTTTAAAGGGAAACTGTCCCTTTCCAGCATTTTGAACAATATGTTTATATATCTTTCTATTTAGAAAATATGGTTTTATTTGCACCGTATTTTCCTGTATACTTAAATTGAGCGACTCCATCTTGGCTCCCTGTCAATCATTGCTATAAATATTGCCCTTTTCAACCATTCAACGTTACTTAGTGGAAGAGAAGAAATCAATGGAGACTGCGGGATCCTGCACAGATAAAGCCAATTTTCTGCAGCCACCACTGGTGACGGCTGTGGAAATTGTCACTTCTAGACTGTAGTAGCTTGTGTAAGGCGTAGGAAGTATTCAGTGACAAAGTTTGTATATTGGAATAGTTTGTTAGTTGTGTCTAAGCCACATGCAAATAAACCTAAACTCTAAAACTATTGGTACGATCGACCAAATCTGTGACCAACCAGAGGAAGCCCTACACCACAGACCGTAACCTCATCTGACCAGGTTTGTCAGTATATGTATGTTCTTCTGTGTTTATTGTATGACATTAAATATCTTTTTCATGTTTTAGAGACCCTTTTTATTCTAATAAATTTGAATAAACAAACGGAGTCTGTGTTTTGGTGTTTTATGCTTTTTTTGACTGTGCCTCAGTGTTTACCCTACATACCTGCCAGATGAAACCTACAGACACAGCTGTATTTCTGGTGGAGAAGAATTGTTTGGTATTTTATTTTGTGGGTTATTTTATGTGTGGGGTATGCAATTAGATGTGTTAATGCAAGGTTTGTTATGATGCTGCTTGTTGGGTTGCATTTGTGAGATTATTCTGCTTGTGGGGTTGTGTGTGTGTGTGCTACTTGTGGGCTAATCTGCATGAAGGATGCGTGTGGGGGCAATGCTGCTTGTGAAGTTGCAGGTTGTGTGTGTGTCTGGTGTTGGGGCGGTTTGGAATGAAGTATGTGAGTGCATGTAAATGGGGGCTGTCGTATGTGGGATTGTGTATTTGTTGTTGAAAAAGCGGCGGTCTATATATATATTTTAGAGAAGGTATTGGGAAAATACCTTTGGGTCTGTAGTGCATTTTGGGATGATTGGACTGTTGTGTGTTGAGTGGGAGGAGGTGCTGTGGTTGGGGGGGGTTGGAAGGGGTGTAGGTACTCTACTGTGGTGATAGTGGGAACACGTGTTGTAGTGTGGGGGATATGGGCTGTTGTAGTAGGAAGATGCTGGTTATAGGGGCTGTGGTGGGAGGATGGGGGAATAGTGGGAAAAACAGAGGCCTGAAGTGTGAGGACTTGGAATGTAGTGTGGAAGAAAAAGGCTGAGGGCTGCTTATATCGCCTCCCCAATGCATTTATTGGGGCAGGATAGGGGGGTTTTGATCTCTGGTGGTCCAGTGCAAGATTTTGCTGTCTCAGACTTTTAATCTCACCAATGGGCATGGCCTCCGGCACTGATTAAAATGGTCAATCCTCAAACCCTGCAAGACTTCCTGCAGCCTAAAAACATGACTGGGAGCTCAATGGTTGGACACTAGGTGAAGCCTGCCTGAATAATTTGAAAGAATCCTAAACTAGAACCAGAAACCCTTACTGGGCACAGCAGGTGGTATTTGTGTGCCATTGGGGTTAGTGTCTATGATAAAGGATTGGCTGTGATCGTAAAAAGTGGCTAACATTACAGTGTGCTTTTGTAAAGTAGCAGTGTTCATATGCAGGTGGCTGGGAGACACAATGCATCATTGTTCCACAAGGGGGTAATTTCATCTCCAAGCTGGGAGAGTTCATACATTTGAACACAATCTGAGTAGAAATCTAGCAGCTGTCACTCTTCTATTGGGGCACATCGACCATGTTCCCCCAAATTAACTGTTCACTTTCATCATATATTTTTTTGGATTGCACATTACACAGTCAATTAGATATATTTATTTTCTAAAGCTTTGAGGAAAAAGTTAACATTAAGTTTCTATTTCGATTTATTAAAAAAATAAAATGTGTAATATGGGTTCATACTTTCAATTTTTACCTTGCTGAATTTGGTAAATGTTCATGTGTGAACAGCTATATGATACACAATGTTGCAGCCGGGAGAGTGCTGCGCACTTCTGAGACACTGTAACACAGGCTTATTTACAAAAGTGAGAATTCAAAGTGAGTTTGAAATGTAAAGGAACACTAGCGCTAGAAATATATATCTATTCCCAGTTCACCTGCCTCGGTGCTGCCACATCTTCCTCCGGGGGTTGCCTCATCATCAAGGCTGGTCTTCAGGATGACGGGCCAATCCAATGTATTGGGTAACTACAGCACATGTGCAGCGCTCACCACAATGCACCTAAGATTCTGGCATAGAAAATCATTGAATTTTTTGAAGGGCATGCAAATGTTCTGCGCCATAGCTAAGGAGGTATTACTAAATTTGCAATCTTTATAAATAAGTGTAACTCCCTGTTGGAATGAACCATGGGTTAATAGAGAGGTGTAATTATTTGAAAAACCTCCCAGAATCACAGAAAGTCGTTTAGAGGCAAAATTATCCTCTGGAAGATGATCAGAACAATAACTTAATCTACAGAAGTGACATAAGGGGAAAATAAAATAACTATTTTCAAATAGTGAACACTCCATTCTCCATAACCGCTGTACTATCACAACTGTCAAGGACTGTGGTTCTGCTGCTTGTTAATTTAAAGCAACACTTCAAGCACCATATTCACTACAGCGTCCCAGGTAAAATTTCACAGAACAGGAAAAGCTCCACAAACTAATATTCTCCTTCTAGTGTTTAAATTACACTTCAGCGTTAGTAAATATATAAATAGCAAAAGTCTTATCAATGTGAAATACACATTACCAAAGTAGTGTCCTTAAAGGGACACTATTGGCACCCAGACCACTTCTGTTTATTGAAGTGGTCTGGGTGCCTATTCCTAGGCCCCATTAACCTTGCAAAGGTAAATATTGCGGTGTTTTAAAAAAACACTACAATAATAACCATTGTGGATTAACTCCACATTTAGTGGTTTTCTACTAGACAACTGCTTTAGGGACTTCCAAGCGGTTAGGTGACTTTTGGTCACCTCACTGACATCCAGCGTCACCCAAAACCGCATAGGAAAGCACTGTATGATGCTGCATTTGGCGAAACTGGAGTGAAGTTGGACCCAGAGCCAGCGCCGAGGGCCATCGGTTCTAGACTCAGGTAAGTGATATAAGGGGCTTTTAACCCCTTTTGCACCATGTGTGGGGACACTTATTTCCTGGCACACTATAGATTCCCTTTAAATAGCTTCATTTGCTTTGCTAATGAGCACAATGTCAATAGTATCTTCAAAATAAACAATTAAGTGCATAAGTAATTCCAAATAGCTTCACATTACACTGCACCGGTTCACTTTCAATATGAACTAATTGTCACATTGACAGGAATTTTAGGCATGAGTTCATCCTGCTAAAAGATTGGTACTAAATACTTTATTTTTATGCTGCTTTAGCTATTTAGTTACTAATTCCGAAGTGTAATGTTAACTCAAGAAAGGAGTTGTTTCAGTTTGTGGAGCCCCAGTCTGGGGAGGAATGAGGACGTGTATTTTTCTAATTTGTTTGCTTTGTAATGAGGTTCCAGGTCTGCATTTGAAATAATGAACTTTTTGAAAAACAAAGGTATCACTAGGTACATTTACCTTTTTTATCAAAGGTATAAACTACATTTAAACGGTCTTACTATAATTTTCCAGTCCTACAACCAACATGCTTTGGTTAGCACAATAGTTGCCACCATAACTACTACCTTCGGGAAAGCTTGTCTTCAGACGTCTAGCAAGAAAATCCAGATCTTTCAAAGCTTTGGTTGCTCATGTAGGCCACATAGGCTTTTTAATTGTTTTTGTTTGAAATAATGTGACATGAAAATCATGGATATTTACACACCCTGACAAAAGATGAACCCTTGCAAAGAACAAAGCTGACGTATTGTCTAGACTTTTTCCCTAGTTCAATATATAATCAGATCACTGGGTTCCCAGCATTATCCAGGAGGAGAAAAACACAGAGTTTCTCATGACCTTCCAGAGATGTTCCATTCTTCTTTACCAATGACCTGTTGAGTTTAGGTCACATAAGCCTCTTTTCCACTGAGCGGTACGGTTCGGAAGGGTTAGAATGGGCCAGCCTATACAGGTGAGCGTTTCCACTGCAAGTCGGACCGCCAGGGGGCTTGCGGGGTTTAGACCAAATGCCTAGCGTGGTGTCACAGTGGTGCAACAACAACAAACGTGACGCTACAAAGAACAACAATGGAGGTCATCCAGTAGCTCGTCTTTACTCTGCTTAGCTTTTGGTTCTCTGTAGTTACAATACATGCCGCACTGTATGAGAGAAGGTTGTGAGCGGTGAAGAGAAACACTGCTTGCCTTTGACGTGAGCAGTGATGTTTTTCTGTCTGCCAATCAATGGAATGTATCATGTGACGCCAGTAGCTTTGCCCTAACGGTACCGTACCATTTCCTATGGACCTACAACTGAAGGGGGCCCAGGAATGGTGCGGCTTGATTCGGTTGTATAAGCCACTTTTATAATGGAAACACTCAAAACAGCATACCAAACTGTACCGACCCGAACCGTTCTGCTCAGTGGAAATGAGGCAAAACACAACCGGAAGTACCTTTTTGCACGGATCTGCAATCTAATATAACCTCTGAGACCGGAGGTAATGCTTAACGTTCAGGTTCTTATACTTTGACTGATGTAATTTACACCCGAAAAGCAGAGTCTGGCAGACTACATCTGGAATAGTATTGATCATCATCTGGGTTAACTTATTGTTTATGGCCTTGATTTCATATTGTTGGATCATTTTTTCAAAATCATAAAATGTAAAAATGTATCATATATATACGAAAAATATCACAATACATAAAAACTATTAAATTGCCTGACCTCTTTTATATTTATATTTCAGCCCCGTTATGAGTTTGTCAAAGTGACTTGCCACAGTTATTAGCCGTACAGCACTCAGTAGGTGTATTAGACTGCCACCTACTGTTCACTGCAGATATAGCAAATATAAAGTGTACACTCACGTGACTATATATATATATATATATATATATATATATATATATATATATATATACTTGTATTCTGCTTGATTTTTATGTATCCACAACACAAAGAACAGCAAATAAACACGTGAACTCAATAAGATGTAGTAATCTGCTGCTTATCAGAGTTAAAACGTATACGAAATATATCTGCATAAATGAGAGGATTTATTTTCTTGGTTTGTTAATTTAAAATAAATGAAGAATTTTATACTAATATATGTTTTTCTCATTCCAATATTGTATATTTTTCGTAATGCAATGTTTGCTGTGAACAGTAGGTGGCAGCATACCCCCCCAGTCAAACTGAAATACCTTTAACCCATGAAGGGCTGGAGGCATGCCTAACGCGTTAAATTCCTTGGATACACCTCTGGCCATTAAATAGATAATAAGTAAATGTGTCAATTTACAGTATGCTCAAAAAAAATAAATCTATATTTGATTTATATTTAAAATGAAATATAGATGTATTTCGTCTCTATATCTGCTGATAGAAGTGTTTGTAGAATGCTG